CTGTTGCGTCAATTTTACTCCCTCTGATTCCCACGAATTCGCAGCGGGCTGTTGCGTCAATTTTACTCCCTCTGATTCCCACGAATTCGCAGCTGGCTGTTGCGTCGAATTTACTTCATCTGATTCGCACGAACTTACTCTATCCGATTTGCGCGTCAAACGAGACATTGTGCAACATACGTACGCGTACAATCACAAGACCGGAATTGTGATTTCTTAAATTGTAAAATCCTCTGTTTTGTGAAAATGCACACAATTAATTATTTTCGAAATCCTATTTGCAGATTATAACCGGGTCTTTCATACAAAAAAGTCCGCCCTCTAGGCACGTTTTATTCCCAGTCTCAGTCTGTGCATAACACAACAAGTGGAATTCTAGATTGCATAGATGTATGCTATTACTACATCAACGTGAATTATAATAACCGGAAACTAGTAATCGTATTGACCGTCTGGAAATATTGCATTAAATTTAAAATGTGATGCAACATTGCATTGAGGGCGTTAACCTTTTCACCGCCAGTCTTTCTCGCTTAAATTATTCTACACTATTTTTCTTATATTCTTAAATATTCCTAGAAATGAACCCTAATTTTGGAGCCAAAATTTCAGTTAATTTTGGCTATTTTAGTTCAAACCTTCTGAAAGAATTTGCAGACTACAAACTGGACTATTTTGTGACGAAAAGTGGGAAGTGGTGGTGAAAAGGTTAATGTCGTCTTATCCGATTATGGTGAATGCCCTCAGGACTCGCCTACTTATCAGCATACGAGAAAGGTGTCGTTGTTGTATTTTTTACAATCTGCTGTTGACGATTTTCTTAGAATGTGTGCATTTTTCTAAATCAGCCATACATTGGATGTTTGATTTTAAATTGGAAACTTAAATTTCAACCAAAATTTTCCCCTGCAAATAAGAGCCCACACATTGAGATAATTTATCACCAGGGAAATAAATGGAACGACTCGATTCAAACCATTCAAGTCGTGCATTACGTATCATTGCTCACGAATATTGATTTTATACAAGACGCCACAAGAGGGCAGTATAAGCCAGATAATCCATCCACGATGTTATTCTTCTGATGGCGCTCTCACATCTATTTGTAATAACCTCGGTACAGAAGCACCAACCTGCAAGGAACGTAGTAGATGATGTTTTAACTTGTATTCCATCAAACTATCGCGCACAATTTCGGTACAGGTCAGTTTAGATGCGATTGAAAAATGCGATGCACAATTATATGATTATAACAATACCAAATTGTCTATTGTTGTAATAGTCAAATTTGAAAATATGTTATTTTTTTCAATTTTTTTTTTTTTAATAATCCATGTCCGCTAATTTTGCATTTCGCTAATACTTGTCACATAAATAACACCTATCCTTCAACATGAGGTCAATGAGCCTATATATATATATATATATGGACAGCGCCCCCTTTATTCACAATTGCGAGTCGGTGAAAATCGGGAAATTTTGTAGCAGAGAAACCGCGGTTGTACGACATGGAATGTCATTCACGTTTGCGAAATGTTGTTTTCAAAACAATATCAACTACTGAAAACGCGAGAATCTAGCGAGAGCAGTGATAATTAAGCAGTTTGCAGTAACTTCACCCATGCGTGTCGAGTTACTTCAGTCATGCAAGAAAGCATTATAACAACCAAGAGGTAAACATTAAACATCTTTGCTGTTCACCCATCTTAAGGTAGAAGCCTACTCATAATTGAAAATGGCCATAAAGTTTGTTTTTTGTTTTTTTTCTCTTTCCAATAAAATTGTACTTTCGGGCAAAAAATCGAGAGTTAGTGTGGATAGTGTCCATTTTGGCACTGTTATAATGCTTTTATCATAGGTTCCTATGGACGATATCATATGTCAAATTGCGGGCTGGTGACGTAGGCTGAAAAAATTATATATCGTGAATGATGGGGTACTGTTTGTTGTTCTGAATTATTTCAAAAATCTTCTGACCATGTCGTTTGATAATGGTTACCGAAACATTCCAAAGATCTACATACAGAATCATTAAAGGTTAAAATACATATACATCAGACAAGACACGGGCATTCTGACTGTAAGAATATAATATCGGCAACTATTTCTTTTTCTGCAAACTGCTGGATAAGAAAACGACCGGAAAATGAGTATTCCATTTTTCACAATTCTTATTTAATTACATGGGGGATAAACTACAAATGATGCCATATACCATTAAATCAGTAAATTTTACTACGAAAACAAAATCATAAAATTAACAATCTAACGCAACAAACCATTAATTAAAATCCCTCTTTTAATTGATCGTATGAACTAATCTCATATTTGTTATGAGTTACTTATGATCGTGCACAATAAATTGACATACCACTTCCAGTTCGTTGACCTGTGAATGTACACTTTAATCTACACTCTCACTTCCTGTATGTTAAACCCGTGAACGTACACATCCACTAACAGGTCACTATGCCCGTATACTTGCAAATATAATATATGATTTATACCAGTTGCCAGAACCTTATTCGAAACCAGTGACAATAACTTTTATCAGTAAATAACTTATGAATAATTAATAAGAATTGTACACGTATATGCAAATTAGCCTATCACGTGATAATATTTTACTCGGTTTGAGTGAATACATAGACAGCTATCACTACACTAATTTGCCCAGCTCAATCAAATCTACTCCCCCAAAATGCACTGCGTATCACAGGTGCGGGAATTCGAGTATTTGTCGCCAGCTCAGTGCTTGTTCTTGTGACCATGATGCTTGCCATGCTTTTTGGCTGCTGGCGCTGGCGGTGGCGGTGGCGGCGCTGCAGCTTTTTTGGCGGCTTTTTTGCCGTGAGCGTGATGACGTCTACTATGTTGGATTTCAGGTTCTGGTGGCGGCGCTGGTGCTTCTGCTGCATGGGCTTTATGGCCCTTTCGCAAAAACATTTTCCTATTTAAAACGAAAGGAAAAATATTATTGAAATAACAAACAGGGAGAAAAAAATAAAACATCGACATATTCACATATAAATTATAATAATCAGCTATATAAATGAAGTACAACAGTTATTATTTGAACTCAAAAATATCCGTTACATATATACATTTTGACGGGAAAAACACAAAGTTCACAGTTTTAAACGGCACATTACAGTGCCCTGTACCCTGTATAATATAAATTGTAAACGTCAATACGTGGATACACGTGTTTAAATACGTACTTATCAAGGCACTCATGCTCGGAAATCAACGCCACCAACACAATAACCACAATAATCCCGACGCAAAACTTGTTCATGATGACCTTTCTACAAGTTGAAAGAAATGTGAGAACGTTATCATATCATGCCTTGAATCAATGGATGGGTAATGTTTCCTGACACCCCGGCACAGATTCACAGCACTGACACAGTCATATCATTAGTGAAACGAGGATGAATTGTTATTGGGGGGGGGGGGGTATCAGAACGATTGATAGACTCTAGTACGAGTCATGAAAAAACGTTAA